GCTTTTAAAAATAAAGTTTTAATGCCAGCCATGCTTCCAGAGCTGCTGCTCAACATCAGCAGCAGGATTACTGTTTGCCCTTATTTCAACTAAAAGACAAGGAAGGTCACATTTAAGCCAGTAACTGTTATTTCCATCTGTCAACAGGGTTTATTTAGTTAAAATTTAGGCAACCAACCTTCCTTCTGCAGCAGCTGTGGCTTAAAACACAAAACTATGGTGGTTTCTTGAAGCAAGCAGGCAGCCATGAGGTGCCTGTGAGGGCATGCCACGTCAGCTCAGCAGGAGTTTGTATGGTCCAGGGTCTGCAGGTGGGGCACGGGTCTCCCCATCCCTTCCTCCCTCCATTTATCACACAGCCAGCGGGTCTCCCTGGGCTCTCCCATTCCCATGCTGTGTGACTGCTGGCAGCAGTGTCACCTGCAGAAGGGCACATGATGCCACTAAATTTATGTAACACAAAACTGGAGAGATGAATTAAGTGCAAACATAAACAATCTCATTTTATAGGAGCACGTGAGTGAAGTGGACACATGGTTGCCGTCACAAGGACACAGGCTGTGTCCCTGTGTTTGTAAAAGCCTGTTGTACAGCAGAGGGACCAACAGTGGTGCAGGTGGCTGCATAACTTCACAAGGCACTGCCTAGTGCTGGACAAGCCCAGGGATAAGATGCTATACAGACTGTGGGCATCACTTTCTCGCTGAGGCCCTGAGCTGCCTTTGGCCCCTTGTTGTTAATCAAGCTGCGGTATTTCTATTTGATAAAAGATCTGCCTCAGTTAATATCAGCCTGCTCACAGTATGCTTTAGGTCAGTCACTGCCAACACAGTAACCTTCTCATTTAATATTCTGAGATGTGATGTGAAGAAAGATAAGTTAAAAAGAAGGTAATTAATGTTTAGGGCAAGAACTATTTACACCTCCCAGTTGGCAGCAGGGAAGGAGTTTCATAAGCAAAGGGAAGTGAAATTTGAATGGTTTCAGCGAAAGGTGTATGTCTGAGAGTTCATCTGTGTGAGGGAAAGTTCTTAGAGCAGAGACACTAAACCAAAAGACTCACAAGCCTGGCTCCTGGTGGGCTGTCAGCAGTTAGCATCCATCTAATGTGATGTTGAACAATCAAGCAGGCTTTATCTTTTTCTAAGGAAAAAAGAAGCCAGTCTTGTTTCAGTCCTGATAATTAGTAATTTAAAACTTAGTTATCTCCAGAGCACAACCTTTCTCATTAGCAATTAATATTTTTTGTCTGTCTCTCTTTTATGAATCTTTGCCATCAAGATCAGGTGTACCTTCCTCCTCACAGACTAGAAATCAAGCCCTTATGTTTCACAAGACACTGCATTTTCATGTAACTTAAATTTTTGCCTCTTCTAGCATTAATCACACTTGGTGGATGTACTGAAATCAGTCTGGCTTTATTAAGGCCACTGAACGCACAGTATTAGCTCATGCCTTGTGTACATCCACAACACATGGTAGTGAGTTTTCAGGACCAGTTTACTGTAGACTAAAAAAATGCACAAGTAGGCTTGAACACTTTGAAAATAGGTATTTTTGATAACAATTTTCTTGAGAGTGATTGTTTTTCACATGAAAAGGTTTGGTTGTGTTGGCAGCCCATTTTCTAAGTCAGTAACAACAGGAGGAGAGAACTCAGACCAGACATTCCTGTGTTTTTTCTCATCAAAGTAGATGATATCTGAACTTTATGAAGGTATTGGTTGTGTCATGTGGCAATGAATGTATTTAGCTACCTCAAGTAGGACTACATGAGCTCTATAATTGTCTTAAGTAGTATATACTTATGAAACCCATCTCTGTGGAGCTGCACAGAAAAAAATTAAACACATTTGATCGTGATCTTGATTCACTATAAATTATATAGGGATAAGTGCATTTCAGATTCACAAAGAATTTTTAATTATTCAGTATCGTGAACAGTGTGTGTTAGTGTTTGCGGCAAAGGTGGCCATTCAGCACCAGCTTCAAGTACAACTTCCAATACTAGAAATCATCCTGCTGGTGCAATGCAAAGTGCTGAAGAACATACCCATTCCTGGACAGCCACTGAATTACCAGCTGGTTTCTGGTGGGCAGGGGAAGCTTTGCTCCATCTCTCCTCTCTCCTAGTGCCCATCTGTAGCTTTCTAGATTGTAGCCCCAGCAGCTGAGCCCTGCAGATGGCAGAATACAGACTTTTCTTTTGTAAGTTGACCTAAAACTAATGGTTGATGACTCATTTCTAAATTTACCTAAACCTGAGGCAATAAGTAATTCACTTGCCAACAGGTGGCCCATGTAAAGGCAATGATTATTCTCCAGTAAAATGTTTAACAAGCTTTTCTTTCATTCAGGGAAAGGTGAAGTCACATTTTTAGGCACAAATTGTCAAGTGAAAAATTAAAAAGTTTTTCTCTGCCTTAATTTTTTTAATTATGTCAAATAATTCCCAGGTGTAAAATCAAAGTGTCATGACACATTTAAAAGAGGAACATTTGACTCTGAGAGAAACATGTTCATCAACATTTTAAAGCAAGAAGCTATCAAAACTGATGCACTTCCATGAAAGACCTGGCTTCAGAAAAATGATGTTTTCTAAAGTATGCCTGGGCATCAGCATCACTATTACTGCCTTCTTCCTTCTCTGCCTCCCACTCTGCTCTCCATACTTTTAAATTAAAATGACTCAGAAGCATTAGCATGTAACACCCATGGCCCAAACACACCTGCAGGATCAGGTCCTACCACAGATCAAAGCTCAGAGGTCTCATTTCCCAATCCTAAACACATTTAGGAGCTGAACCAGGCACAGTGGTGTTTGTCCTGCCTGGTGCAGAGGCATCTCTTGATACAGAGCAGCACAATTCTGGGCAACAGAGGTTTACTGAAAAAAAATCTGAGGTGCTAAGATTACTAGATTTAAATAAGTTTTGTGGAACACACAAATCAGACTTAGGTGCCTAAATTTTGTGCCCATATTTCTGTGGACTTGTGCCTACTGTACTAGTGAAAGACCTACCTGCATGGCAACCAATGCACTGAAAATGGCCAAATCATTCTAACAAAGGGTATATCTGTTTTTTGGAAAACAATCCTGTCAAACCCAGATTGGGAGCATTTCTTATAGTGATTTGCAGAGTTTCCTACAAAGGCCAGTTTTTGACAGTTCCATCAACAAACTGGTCATGAATGCAAATCATGGCAAATAAAATGATGGATGATGCAAAGGCTGATAGAGTTGTAAAAAACAATGAGAAGGAGCCAACATGTAGCACTCAGTAGGTGGGATCTACTCAAAAGGCAGTTGGGATAGGGATGAACACAAGGTTGTGGCATTTAGGAGTAACAAACACAAGGCATGCCTGACACATGGGACATAACTCCAGCAAGTAGTGCTTCTGGAAAGGATTTGGGGTTAGAATTGACAAAAAATTTCCACGTGGTTTGCTACTGAGAAGGTGTGGAGAAATAGGCCTTGGTGCTACAGAGACATGGGGAGAAGAAAAAGGGATGATCTTTATCCCTGTATATAGCAAAGGTTGAAAAGGCTGAAAGCCTAGAGAACTGTCCAAAGAGCCACAAAAACGATTTCAAGTGAAAAAAATACTGATTGTGAATGAATTCCAGAGTTCAGCCTACAAGTTTTATTAAAAAGACTTGATTACACAATTGAAATATTATCATAAGGCAAAAGCAGAGGCCTTGAAAAACTCTTTAGTCTATCAGAGAACAGTTTAACAAGTAATCTTAGCTGGAAGCAAAAGCCAGACAAATTCTCACGAGAAACACAACAAGTTGCTTGTCTGAGGGAGTGATTAGTGAACAAGCCATTAAGGGAAGTGGTGGGGTCTAGGCTCTTTGATTCCTTAAAACCAGGGTCCTTCTGGAAGATAAAATTTACTCAGATATTATAGGACTCATGAAAATAGCAGGAAAATGTAATGGCTCATGTCATATACAATCACTCGTATTAAATGGTCTGATGGATCTTTCCAGCTTTAAAATGCAATGAATTAACTACTCTCAAGAGTCCCAAAGTATCTTATTTAATTGTGCTCAGAGAGGAAGCCCACTGTCTTGCAGCTGTGGTCATTAGCATGGTCACCTCCTCCTGTGTGTCTGCATTTCCCACTCTCTGCCTGTGTTCAAATGCAGAATGAGGTTTCTGAGATTTGCCTTCCTCTTGCCAGCTTGCAGGGCTGTGCTGGCCTCTTGCTCTAAAGCAAGTTTCCTGTCATAAGGGAGTGATTCCCTTCAGCTTTTGTGAAATCCTGTTGTAATAACAGAAGAAATAAAAACATCAGACGTTGTACCACAAGCAGCAGGCAACTCAGAAGCTTGCCAGATTTCCCTTTGCACACGAGAACAGGAATTGGTGTGTGTCCCCCCACCCAGTGCTAAAGCGTATCTATTATTTCCTACTCAACAGTTACTGTGAAGGCCTAGAGAAGCAAGGGGTTGTTGGAAACTGTGCCTGGTGCTTCTCATACATTTGCTATCTTTCAACATGGAGTGTGGCACCTGGCACTTGTGCTGTTCAGGAGTAGATGGATTAACTGAGGAATGACTGAGAGGGAGGAAAGGTCTCTGGAGGTGGGAACTGCTGGCTTCATGGCAGTATCTTCCCTTTCCTAATTCCGTGACAGCTCCTTCCTACCCTTTCAAAGAGGAGACAAGCCTTCCAGGGTCTTGAGGTTTTGAGGTGCTTGGTGGCATCTGTTCATGAGACTTCAGCCTCCCGTGGCAGAAGCTCTCAGTGCTGGGGTGGTACAGGCAGGTGATCCTCAGCTGCCTACCTGAAAGAGAGGCTGTGCCTACATCCAGAATGCACTCCCCCTATAGTATAGGCTGGTGCGGCTTGTCATCTGGTTTTCTGCAACGTTAGTCTCAGTTTGAAAAATGAACTTGCAGAACAACTACAGGAAGACAAAAGAGGGGTGGGATTCTGGTGTTAGCTTACAGCTTCTAATGAGTGTCCTCCTTCTTCCTTTGACTAGGCTTTATCAGGCTGTGAATGAGTTTGACACCATGACTGCTGAGGACTCCACTGCAAGGATGAGCAACGATTCCTCCAATGTGTCTACTACAAAAGTCCCTGAAGGTGTTGCTGGTGCGCCCAATGAGGCAGCTCTGCTGGCCCTCATGGAGCGCACTGGATATAGCATGATCCAGGAGAATGGGCAACGCAAGTACGGTGGCCCTCCGCCTGGATGGGAGGGCCTGCACCCTCCTCGCGGCTGCGAAGTCTTTGTGGGCAAAATCCCCCGCGATGTCTATGAAGATGAGCTTGTTCCTGTGTTTGAATCCGTCGGCCGCATCTATGAAATGCGCCTGATGATGGACTTTGATGGGAAGAACCGTGGCTACGCCTTTGTGATGTACACACAGAAGCACGAGGCGAAGCGTGCTGTCAGGGAGCTGAATAATTATGAAATCCGCCCCGGTAGGCTGCTGGGTGTGTGCTGCAGTGTGGATAACTGCCGGCTCTTCATTGGAGGCATTCCCAAGATGAAGAAGAGAGAGGAGATCCTGGAAGAGATTGCCAAGGTGACGGAAGGCGTGCTGGATGTCATTGTGTATGCCAGTGCTGCAGACAAGATGAAGAACAGAGGTTTCGCCTTTGTGGAGTATGAGAGCCATCGAGCAGCAGCAATGGCCAGGAGGAAACTCATGCCGGGAAGGATCCAGCTGTGGGGACACCAAATTGCTGTTGACTGGGCGGAACCAGAGATAGATGTGGATGAAGACGTCATGGAAACTGTTAAAATCCTCTATGTGAGGAATTTAATGATTGAGACCACAGAGGACACCATTAAAAAGGTCTTTGGGCAGTTTAACCCTGGCTGTGTAGAGCGGGTGAAAAAAATACGTGATTACGCCTTTGTGCACTTTACAACCAGGGAAGATGCCATTCATGCCATGAACAACCTTAACGGTGTTGAACTGGAAGGCTCGTGCCTGGAGGTTACCTTGGCCAAGCCAGTAGACAAGGAGCAATATACTCGCTACCAGAAAGCAGCAAAAGGAGGGGCCACAGCAACGCCTGAAGTAACTCAGCAACCTAATTATGTTTACTCTTGTGATCCATACACACTAGCTTATTATGGATATCCATACAATGCCTTGATCGGGCCCAACAGAGATTACTTTGTGAAAGGTTAGTAAGCACAATTAGGGCATGTGATGGGCAGGTTTGAGCTCAGGCTGGTGTGACCCAAGGTCTGCCTGAGCCAAAAGACACCTGGTGCTATGCACTTTTTTCTTAAACATTCTTTTATAGGTCTTTTTGCCATATTTCTGTTTGGTATCATTTTAATTTGTGACTACACAGAGTGTGTTTATCTATAAATAATTGCTAATGTATAGGCTAGTATGAGGGAGGCATCAAAAGTATGGTTAAGAATCAGCTAACAGACCAAGCATGGGATGGGGAAGAGAGTGATCTGGGTTTTTTGTGTGCTGTACTGAGCAAGTTCAAGGACTCCAGCTTCTGATGCCTCCTTCCAAAGAGCCAGAGTCTCAGTATTAGAGATTATGACAGAGTGCTCCCTTTTCCTTCTCCTGGAGGTGTGGGTACAGTGACCTGGTCATCCAAAGGGAGGGATGTCAGGGAAAGCCTTGGGAGCTCTCCAGGTGTTATTTGCCCTCTGCGTTAAAATGACAGTAGTGCTGTGTCCTTTATAAAGTCATTTGAGAACTAGTAAGCAGAAGGAATCATGTGAGTGCAAAGTAATTCTTTTACTATGTATACTTTAATTAGGTATCGGTTACAGTCATTAAAAATTAACCAAAAATCAGTTATTCATAAAAAACCCTAGCAGCTATAACTGGTGTTATAATTACGATTATCCTGTACTTGCAGGAATTATAGTTTCCTGAAATGCAATGAGTATTTCCATATAACAGGCAGTTTAGCATGTATATATTCTTAAGGCACCCACATAAACCAAGAAATAATTTTAACCCTAGTTGATCAAAATTTCATCTTCTTCTCAATTTCCAGATTTGTACTTGAAATGAACTATAAAGGAGTTAACTGACAGTCTAAATATTCAATTAGGCCATCATAGCATCCATTAATACTGCAGCATCCAAAGTACTATCGTAACATGCATGGAGTCATTAAAATAAATAAAGGCAGTATTTTTGGAGATGGGATATATTCACATTACTAATAAAATAGCAGAGAAAGTAAACAACGCTAGTAAAAACATATGCAATGGTGGGACAAATTTGGTTAAAGGCCAGGTACAACTTCAGGCCATCTCTGCAGGGTCCCATTGTGGCCAGCTGAGAGGCTGGGTCTCCTCTGGAGGACAGATGGAGCAGAAGCTGTTCCTACTGCATAGAAATCACCCTGGAGGAGCCTCTCTCTCTGCTGAGTAGATTATACCCATAACATTGGCCACAAGAGTTGCATCAGTATAAATAAGCAATTAATGTATGGTCAGAAACATCAAGAGAAAAACTTGCCTAGGCTTACTGGGTGCTTCTAAGGCCAAACTCTTTTCCTAAGCAAGGTCACTAAGACTCAGATCAAACTAACTTCAGCAGCCTCACATCTAAGCACATGCCTCTTGATCTTAGCCTGGGGCTGTTCATGCTCCCCACGGGCTGTTGCTCTCTTATTCACCATCCTCTTCTATGTTGTTATCATAAGCAGGCAGCATACGAGGCAGAGGGCGAGGTGCAGCTGGCAACAGAGCTCCAGGCCCCAGGGGCTCCTACCTGGGGGGATACTCCGCCGGCCGTGGCATCTACAGCAGGTACCATGAAGGCAAAGGAAAACAGCAAGAGAAAGGATATGAGCTGGTACCCAACTTGGAGCTACCTGCAGTCAATCCGGTGGCCATTAAGCCCGGTGCAGGTTAGTATGTGCAATGAGGGGAGGAAAGCAGAGGTTGCGGGCGAGGCCCCCACTCCAAGCCCCGTGTCAGGCACGTGGGGACCTCTCCAGGGCCAGCCCATGGCTGCAGTAGTGGGGACAGCCCTGGGGCCAGAGCTCAGCACTCCCCTGTGCCAGATGCCTCCTGGCCCTAGCCAGGCTTTCTGCAAACAAGAGGCATGCAGAGGGACAGGGGACGTGAACATCTGGGAGCTCTTCAGGCCAAAGAAAAAAGGGGCTGAAGCTGTGTTCAAACCTTCTGCACCTTCTCAGGAGGAAGCAGACTTTCCTCTCCATCTAGTCATTCACACTAGAGCATTGTGACTAAGAGTAATCTTCCTCTCTTTTGATTTCTTCAGTGCTAATTTCAGCCTGGGAGATTCCTGCCCCTGATTTCCAGCCGGGCCAGACCTCTCCCTTGCTTAGCTTGTTTTCTCCAGTGTTACAAGGCTGAGAAAAGCACCTGGAGCTTTCCCACTACAGGAAAGTCCATGGCTGAGGCAAGCTCCTCCATCCTCAGCAGCAGCATGGAGATGGAGCAATGCAAGGAGCCCTCAGCATCTAGCTTGCCATGATGCAGCACCTACAGGAGAGCTCTCAGCTCTGCTGGGCTGCAAGGTGCCCACCCAAGGGCCAGGGCAGGGATCACCACCCTCTGCCACATCCTCAGCTTAATATCCAGCCCTTGCCCTTCAGGTGAACTGCATGAAGGCCGAAGCCCTGCAATTCCTCAAGGTCCTGTTTGGAAAGATTTTTATTTGGAAAAGCAGTCTGAGGAAGAAGGTCCTTGCAGGTGATGGGAGAAAGCCCTCTTGCAGAAGTCCTCAGGTGTTCTCCCCATTCCTCTCTTCAAGTAAATTGTAACCACAGGACCTAAGTGGTGTTTAATAATGGATCTGCAGTGGTTTCCCAAAACATGTTCCAAACCACAGCTTGCATCTAATGAAGGCTGTGAATAATTCTTCATAACAGCTGGATGAGAATCTGAGAAGAATTCCAGAGACAAAGGAAGGCTGTTAAGATTAGAGCCATTTCCAAAGGAAGATCAGACTTCCTGAAAAAACTGCCCACTCACAATCAGAAAATACCACTATGCGTGTTTGTAAAGATACTTTAGGAATTCCAGGTATTACTATGCTTGAAAAGTGGGCTGTGAAACGCATGCCTATTTGTGGTGTCTACAATTCATTCAACTGCCAAACAAAAGCCTGAAGCTCAAGTCTAAATGTTTCTATGCTTGAAGGATGCTGAGATTCAGACTTCTTTGTCGGGTCTTCCCCTCTCATATGGTTCCAGCACAGTCTCTGAGCACAGAAGCACCCAGCCTGTTTTCCCCAACCAGATCAAGATGATCTAGAGGTATCACAGGCAAGACTTTCCTCTGTTATTAAAAGGATGTGATTCTGAAAGCACATTACCAGAACAGAGGAATAAACATGCACCAACTCTGCAAAGTTTCCTACTGTTCAGAACAACTTTGAAGCTCATTTCTTTGAAAATGGTTAGAAAACTCCTAAGAGGTCACCCCAAAACCCCAGTTGCTTGTTACTCCTTTTCTGCCAGAAATTACTGCAGAATGGAACATGAGCTCTCTGCCTTTGCTTTGGTGAGAAATTATTATCCAGGTTATTTAAACCAGTGATAAAGCTGGTTTGAACTGACCCAGTGGACTTGGTGTAGAAGGAAAACTAGAAAAGCAGAGGTGGAGGTCTCTGCTTGAGGAAATAGTGGTAGTCCACTGGCATTGGAAACACCTTTGCCTGAAGGATATCAGATCAGATCCCTTGTTGCAGTCTCTCAGATCAAAACAAGACTACTGCTTTTGGCACCTGTCCTTCCCACAGGCAGAATTGCACACTTGCATATAACAAAGTTTCATCACAGTGAAAGAAACACATGTGCATATTTGGTTTCATTTCTGACTTACTGGCTGCACTTCCCACAGATGCCAACATCACCTCTTAGTCCTTAATTTATTGATTACTCTGTTTAACTTGTGAATATTCTTACTGCTGGAAGGTTCACAAGCTGAATGCTGAACTGTGCACTATGAAGCAATGATGGAAATCATAGCACCATAGAATGGTTTGGGTTGGAAGGGACCTTAAAGATCATCTAGTCCAAACCCTGCCATGGGCAGGGACACCTTCCACTAGACCAGGTTGCTCAAAGCCCCGTCCAACCTGGCCTTGAACACTGCCAGGGAGGGGGCAGCCACAGCCTCTCTAGGCAACCTGTTCCAGTGTCTCACCACCCTCACAGTAAAGAATTTCCTCCTTGCATCTCATTTAAATTTACCCTTTTTCACTTTAAAACCGTTACCTCTCATCCTATCACTAAACTTTCTGATAAAGAGTCCCTCCCCATCTTGTCTGCAGGCCCCCTTTAAGTACTGAAAGGCCACTACAAGGTCTCCTCAGAGACTTCTCCAAGCTGAACAACCCCAACTCTCTCAGCCTTTCCTCATAGGAGAAGTGTTCCAGCCCTCTGATCATTTTTGTGGCCCTCCTCTGGACCCACTTGAGCAGGTCCATGTCTGTTTTGTGCTGGGGGCCCCAGAGCTGGACACGGCGCTGCAGATGGGCTCTCACGAGAGTAGAGGGGGAGAATCACCTTCCTTGACCTGCCGGCCACACTTCTTTTGATGCAGCCCAGGATGCAGTTTGCTTTCTGGGCTGTAGGTATACACTGCTGGCTCATGTCCAATTATTGTGTTTATTGGGAGTGTTCAGCAAAGCACATTTCTTCCTTAAGCAGTGCCACGAAGCTCCATTTTGGACCATGTACAAATTCACCATCTCTGAATACCATCATTCTGACCGGAGCGTTTTCCCTTTGTCTGAAAGACCATAGCTCTAATTATTTTGCATTTTCCAATTTTGGCATGCAGAAGTATTCTCTAAAGAGCAATTTCTTTTTTGTGTGTGTGTCATTAAATAGACTGATACTGTAGCAGAGAGATGGGATAAAACATAGTTAGCTGAGACCATCCTGGGAAATGCATAATAGTCAATGAGCTGATATTTTGCAGAGTTGGCCCAAGGATGGCATATAGACTGGACCAGTTGCTGCCTGCAACTTCTGCAGTACAAACCACACTCCTTCCCAGAGCAGCTCTGCCTATGGCAGCTACACGTCCCTTGATCTTAACAGCTGGAACAAGGACCCCACCGGGACAATATGCACTCTCACCCATCCCTGTGCTCAGGCCACACTCTTGGCCAGGGGTGAGGACAGTGGTGGTCAGAAGGGACTGTGTAAATCCAGGCCTCAGTTCCCAGTCCTCTTCAGGACTCTGGCCCTGGAACACCCATGCCAGGAGCATGGGGGGAAATGCTGGGCAGAGCAGGTAGCACTAAGCCCAGCATTGTGCATCAGCCATGGTGCCCCAGGTCCCCTGCCCTGATGAGAGCAGTGCAGGACTGCTGTGGGAGAGCCAGCGCCACTGGGAGGGAGGGTTCTTTAAGATGAGGTCCTGGAGACCTCTCCTAATGCACCTGATGTGTCTGGTCTCTCCTAGTGGCCATCCCTGCCATTGGTGCCCAGTACTCCATGTTTCAGGCTGCACCACCAGCCAAGATGATGGAAGATGGCAAAATCCACACTGTCGAGCACATCATCAACCCTATAGCTGTGCAGCAGGACCCAGCCAGTGCGGCAGCTGCTGCAGCAGCTGCAGCCGCAGCTGTAATACCAGCTGTCTCAACACCTCCCCCCTTCCAGGTATGTTCAGCATGTAAGCCCTGCTTCCCACACATCCTGCTTCCCACACATCCCGCTTCCCATATGTCCTGCTCTGCATACCCAGGGCCAGGGGAAGCCTGGCCTCTTGCCCTGCTCCCATTCAGGAGGTGCTGTAGAGGATATTATGGTGCCCAACAGCCCTGCAGTACATCTGACTTGTCTTAGACCTCTGCACTTCAGACAGCTTCTCCCCCTATGGGGTACCCAAATCTGGGACAGAGGGAATAGTCCCCCATGACAGCATAACTCACAATCAACAGGGCACACGCTGCCTGCCCTCCCATTATCACCTCCCCTTCTAGATGATTTGCAATTCATGGAGTGGAAACGAAATTTAAGCACTTTTATAGAGGTGTGAACCCAATGCTTTGCTTCCAGGGCCGCCCCATCACACCGGTGTATACCATGGCCCCCAATGTGCAGCGGATCCCCGCCGCAGGGATTTACGGGACAAGTTACGTGCCATTCGCAGCACCCGCTGCAGCGACAGCAACAATAGCCACGCTACAGAAGAACGCTGCAGCTGCTGCCGCTGCAGCCGCCGCTGCCTACGGGGGATACGCCGGCTACATCCCCCCAGCGTTCCCGGCCGCGACCATCCAGGTTCCCATCCATGATGTCTACCAGACGTACTGAGACTGTCGGCAGAGGAGGGGGGCAGAGAAACACACACTGAAGGAACACTTTACTATTTATGAAGAAAAAACCGTCTGCGAAAGAGTAAACGTTTGGGCTTGGTAAACTGATGCAGAAAGTGAAGAATGTCATAGAGAACCATGTTTGAGATATTTTCTACGCTTGAAGTTTTCACTAACTTTTTTAGGCTATTTTTAAAATTTAACATGCCTGTATTCATACATTTCTAAAGGACCTCAATGCATCCAGCCCACCGCTGACATGCATTCATACGCATCCTAGTAGGGTTGCATAGGGTCTTTTTTTTTTTTTTTTTTTTAGCAGTTATATTTTCAGTATATTTGTGGTATGAAGGTTATTTTTTAGTAACTTCTGCACTCCAGAGATGTCTATTTTGTAGTGCCTTTAATAATATATCAGCTATATATTAAAAAGCACACCTGAGCAGCTAGGGAAAGTTTTAACAATATATTTTGAAGAATATATTCAATATTTAAAGAATACATACCTTAGATTTTTTTTAAAGAAAAAAACAACAAGTATCTTATTTAAAAAATTATACTGGAAAGTGCAATTTCAAAAATGTGCAAGACCTCTGAATTTTTGTGCTGGCATTAACACAATCTGCTCATTCTTATTTGAAATCAGAAGTAACTAATATTGCCTTTTTGGGAGAAAGAGAAAAAAAAAAAAAGCCTCCTCACACAAACCTCTTTGCAGTGTGATTTGCAGGCTTGTGTTAAGTAAAGGAAAGGCTCTGAGTTTTCCTTAACAACTGGATTTTCTATTTATTGAAGCTACTTGTAGTTGGAGCACGTGCAGAAACAAGTAGCTCTTATTTCATGCAAGGTGTCTTGAGTTAGATCTTCATCCAGTATAAAGCCTAGACTCTTTTTCAATGCTCTTTATTTTATTCTTTGAAGTATATGTTGTAGTGACTAAGAATGTATGCTGCTGTCAGCAAGAGGAGGTGCGCTCTCACTGAGAGGATGTGCAGCATTACTTACCCATCGCTCCATCGTGTTCCATAAGAAATGTCTGAGGTACTAGGGGTGGTAGTGATACTGGAATTAGTGAAACAGGTCTAGCCATCTCCTGGCCTCCCTTCCACACTTAATTCCCCTTCTCCACAACTGGAGTTGTACATGCACATCAGGGGCGGGAGCGGTTAGACCTGATGATTTTAAGACATAGAGCTTGTAAATATCTTTTAATATACATTTTTAAAGTCATTTTATGTTGCAAATTTACATGGTATGTGGTTTGTCACAAAACAAAAACGTTTTATTGCAATGTTATAAAAAAGTTTGTTTTATTAAGAAGTAAATATATTATTGCAGTGTTTTGTGGCCTGTTTAAAGGCTTTTATTTAGTAGTGCAGTGAATGTAAAATATAGTGAAACGGTAAAGAAATATCTTGCCCATTGTATGAAGTGCATCAGCCCTGCAAACACAGCTCCAGTGACATGAGGTGTGAAGCAGGGAGTGAGTAAACAATGTTCCTTTACTTTTTGTGGTATAAGTACCAACCAAAGCGGTTCTGTATTGAGTGTATTTTGACAACTGAACCGCTTCCAGACCATGCCCAGCTCAATTAAGTGACCTTTTAATACACTTTGTTTTCCTTGCCTCAAAATTGAGCGGTTGTTTTTCAGGTGCTCTTGCTCAGCCAAGCTGAGCTCTCCTTAACCCTGTCGACCTGTTAGCGAAAGCACTGTGAGGTTAAACATTAGGTCGGACTCTGCTCCTCCGCGCCCCATCCTGGGAGACTTTTATTGTCTGTGCCTGCACTCTGGCAGCGCACCCAGACCTTAGCCCCGGGGCCCTGCCCCTTTGTAGGGCGAGAGGAGGTGATTTGGGGGAAGCCCCCAACTTGGAGGCCGGTGCTCTCTCCTCCGGCCCTCTGGCTAAGGCCTTACACGGCTCAACACTAAATGCCACAGTGGGTCCGTGGGCTCTGCACAAACGCCCCTGGGATCAGGAAAACGCAGTCTAGTTGTTTGGGTCTCTGCTGGCCCCCTTCCAGCACCAAGCCACAGCTGACCCACAGAGGAGGGATGAAGGGTGATGGCTCCCTTCCCACTCATCCTTTCCCAACAGCAGGACAAGGGTCCTGCCACTCTTAGAGGTGGCAGGGAGAGAGAGGAGCCAACGAGGGCAAACCCCGAGGCACCCAGGACACTGGTGGGTGCTGCCTGCGCTACAGCAGGAGCAGGCAGGAGCCGGCAGCACCCAGGAACGCAGGCAGCACCCAGGAACGCAGGCAGCACCCAGGGATGCAGGCAGCTGAGCCTCCCACCCATAGCCTGTCTTTTACACTTGCTTCTAAACCATTTCATGTACACTACTACTGAGGTAAGTCTGATAACTTGAAATGTGAACATCTTTAGGTTAAGAACAAACTATTCAAAGAAAAAAAATATTTAAAAAAAAACAAAACTAGTGTGCCTTATTCTTTAAAGAGCTGATATTTTAGGTGTTTTATTGTATCTCTGTTCTCTGTACTGTCAGAAGCCTCTGAGTTTATTTAGTTCTTGCTCCATTTACGGTACATTTCTAGGATGTAGTGAATAAAGCATTCTTTAAATATGGAGAGTATTATTTCATTGCCACATACCACTGCCAGGTTTAACCACTCTGCCAAATCTGTGCTCCCCTCCAAGTTGGAGAGAGGGTGTTTGGGGCAGGAGGGGAGTGGGGCGCCGCAGTGACATCCCCACAGGATCCTGCAGGGAGGGGAGATGAACTGTCCCACTGGCTCCCCCATCCCACCACCTGCAGAGGACAGGGACCTTCTCACTAGGCCTACTGGGCATCTCCCCCTTCTTCCAGCAGCCTCTGATCAGCCTAAATCTCTTTCCACATCCAGTGAAGCTGAAGCTGGCATCCCTCCACGCTTTCCATCCACCCAACACACAGAACTCCAGTAGCTCTGTTGCATGTCACCACTGCATGTCATTTTCATCTCAGCATGCTCCACCCTTCAAGCACACAGGAAGCTAAGCTGTACCTCTTGGCAGTATTTGCAGTCCTCCAGAATGCCTGGCCGTTTCCCTGGTGTAAGTCCACCTGGGGAAAATTTGCTGCAAATACCAAGTCTAGGGAGAAGAGCAATGTGAGGAAGCAGAGGTAAACTGAGGCACAGCAGAGAGGTGGGAGAGGTGTTGGCCACCAAGGCAGGAACTAGTACTAGTGAATAATCCAAAAGAGAAGCAGACAAGAATAAATACCGCATGAGCTTCTACATCCCTCATAAGAAAGCAAAAAGTGTCTGCAACTTCCTCCCTCTAGATCATTTTTCATAATGCAATTCGGACAAGGCACTTTATATCAATATGCCTTGGGTTTTCTGAAGGATACTAATCATGAGAGGTTTCCTTAATCTTTTTTTCTGCACAGAGTCACCTAATTTTGCCTCTTTTCCCTGTATAAACATAGCAGGTTTGGTTTAGGAGTCTGTGTGTCCCAGAAATCATTTCAGGTCAATCTATCTTGCTCAGAGAATGGGTCATCAACATGATGTTAAAAACAGCCTTCAAGGAGATATAGCCACATTAGGACTTCACCTGTCAGACAAATCATCAAGTCACACAAGACTAATGTCTTCTCCTCAATACGTTGTTGACCTTTCCATTCACTAGAGGTCCACCAAGTTCCTTCTCTCATGAGAAAGAAGCAAGTAACCACCAGCAAAACACAGCCCTTTACAGGTGTTCAGACATGGGGCATGCCCTTCACAAAAAACAACATTTTCCAAATGAGGTGAAGAACTGTGCCCCACTGAAATGTGTTTCTGGCTTTTTTCCCCTTTCCCTTTATTCAAGTTACCCAAGATTAAAATGAATCTATGCAGCTTTTTATGAACAGACACTTTACTAGATAATTTTTTTATTTTCTTAGACTGCTGGTTTCTGACTTCAGTTTTGTAAGACCTTAATTAATGATTAATCCACCATAAAGTTGAAATATGCAAGTCATTTTCAGGATATTAACATAAACAATGCCACAGAAATGCAACTGTTCTTTCAAGATGACCTTACTGCCTTGGGAATGTCAGAAACTCTGCTGAGGCCTTGGGCACTGTGACAACTTAACATGCTGCTAAGTCGACCCCATTGCCTTTCTGATCTTGAAGAGCCGACCTGCACTTCCCTGGCTGGTATCGACCTAAATTGCTGAAAACCAGCTTTGACTTTCTTCAGGAAACATCATCTATTAACACAACTATAATACAGCTACTATATAAAGAGATTAACAAGAAATTCAAGTGGATTAACACCACTCTGATATTGCAATATCTCATTTATATAAGTGCTAGAGCTCAAAGTACATGCAAAATGCATTTTTGATATGTCTGAAAAGGTATATGCGGTACCCCATCTCCTTTTCTGTGGCTGGTGTTACACCCCTAACATCTCTTGGCTGACTGGGCCCGGAGCTCTCTGCTCCCTATGTGCCTATCAGCCACAAAACTGGCCCATCATGCTGACCTGTAAAATAAATAAACCCCAGACCTACCTCATAACAAGAGAAACTACCTCTACTGTACATCTAAAAGCCAGCAAAGTCAGGTTTTATGCTCCAGTGTGTCAATTAAATGCTGAATCACACTTGACTGAGTTTCAGGGCCAAGTCCTGCCTGGCAACAAAATGGTCGGAGGGGTGTTGCAGAGAGAAGCTGCAAGTTAGGGAATTAAAAAAGGCAGTTTTTTTGCACCAGGTCCTTCCCTCCTGGCACAAAGGCAAGCTCTGCCATGCAATTATAATTGTTCAAGATCCCAAAGAGCAAATTTTTAGAAATTTGGTACTGTAGTACTTCCATACAAAGTATTTCCTCTCAAGATGATAAATTAGACCAGATTTTTTTTTTCCTCCATCCAGAAGACCAGTACTAGAGTTCATTTGTTTCCTAATCAATTAAGACAGAAGCTTTGCCTCACAGTCCTCACTTGGCAGAACTGCAGATCCTGCATGTGGGAGGTGAGCAGTCAAGGACTAAGTCTTCACCAGAAAACATAATGGGGAAAAATGCTCAGATGTGCTCAGGTTTGTCCCAAGTTTACCAAATGGCTATGTCCTCCCAAGACAGTGACAGATGTCTCTCTCTAAACAGGCTATGCTGGTTGATGCTTTGCCCCACAGCAGGACCCAGGACTTCTCCTCCAACGCCCCAGGGCTCTCCATAGATGCCTTTTCCCAGGGCATTTGAAGAGGCCAGATCACAAACGGGTTGTGGGTTTGTGCCCGCCCTGACTGTTCTGCACTTCTACATGCAGGGGGTTTGCAGAGTGGTTGTCATGCTAAAGGAAACTGTCACTTTTCACGGTCTGGTTGCCCACAGTTGTAGTTTTACTTTGAAGCAACATACGGGTTTGATCTTTTTTTTTTTTTACCTCTTTCCAAATATACACATGTAATTTTGCGAGCCAGGCTGCACTTTGAGCCTGTCCTGGGACGTTTTTGCAATGTCACTGAAGTTCGGCATTAGCTCAGCTACTACCTGTGATCTGTGAGCTGGTAGGAAGCGGGAAGCCACAGGTAAACCAGAAGATCTTCCTGAAGCATGAAAAAAACCCCTGCAAACAGCCTACACAAGCCACAGGAGTGACCTCAAGCTAACCAACAGAGAGAGATGCCTTTAAAACAGTCAGAGGCAAACCAGCCTACACTTAGAGCAGTTCTATGTTCCAAAGTTTTGAAGCAATAACTACAATGAGCAGTTCTCATTCATGTAATAAATCTGTAGGATATGTACCTGGGTGTCTTGGAGTCACTTAACAGAGCATGGGATTACTTGTAATGCACGCACTAGCTATATACCAGGCATCCTTAGTTTCTCTAGTCTTTGACTTTTCAGCTTCTGCCCCTTGCAGAAAGGTTTCCTGGCCACGTGGATAAGCTAAGAATTCCCTCAAGGCTTGGCTTCACTCCAGGCAGACAGATCCCTTGGCTCACCAGCCTTTGTGCAGGATGGAGAGGGACACAATCCTAGTCAGCATGTGTGACAGTGGCATTTAAGCAGCACTATGGAGGCACTTGTCCTACAATCCTCCAAGCAACAACAGTGCAGTTGCATTTGGCAGAGCACTCAGGAGGGCTCTGACAGACAAAATGCGGAGGAGCACCAGCACCTCATCAATGATCAGGTCACCAAGGTCATACCCAAGCAAGAAAACACCCAATAGCCTTGCCCTTTAGGATCATGTAAGCAGTCCAGGCTTGCCCTCCACTACCACCATCTGGGTAGCTTCTTGACACCACCCAAAGCATTGCAGTGAACTCTTCCAAAACAAAGACTGTATCCACATGATGGAGTGCTACAGCCTGAGAGGGCTGAGGCACACCCCATGCAGACATACCTCCTCCAGCAATGCTATTGGCCATCCCCTGGCCCTGCAGTGCTGCAGCAGGCCCTAGAGCACACCCCAAAGGCTCTCATGTTGCAGATGAGCCCCAAGAAGCACGCGGTGAAGTACATTAGGCTTGGCATACATGTCAAAATGAAAGACGGGGAAGAGCATTATGTCTGACTTGGACTTGCAGCCTGAGTTATGAGATGTTTGATGATGTACTGGTGGAGACATACATCATCCAGACCAACTGGGAAACTACGATGATGGGGTGGAATCCTGAGGCCCTAGCCTATGGGAAAGCTGGTCAGAGAGGACAGGTGTCAGCCTGTGGCAGGGAAGAAGTTGTTCTGTGTCCTTAATTTAGACACACATCTCTCCCCACTGAAGTTCCTCCCATGGAGGTGTGCAGAGCAGGTCCCCTTCACTGATGCACCTGTCCATGTTCAGGGGTTTTCCCCATTATTAGCTTGTCAAACTGAGAACACTGGTTGGGTAAGTCAGGCAACACCCACAAAAGGCAGAAAAAAGATCTGCTTTCCTCTTTTGCAGTGGACAAAGGGGAATGACATGAGTGCATTGGATACACACCCCTCTCTCCTCCTAGAACTTCTGAAGGGAGAGGTACAGAGAAGCTGGTCTTGCTTCTGCTAACAGATACTGCATTCACCTTCAAGCCAGCCCTCCCCAGAGTATACATTGGGGAAGAGAGTGCGCTGGAAACAACCAGAACTGATCCCCCAGCCCTCTGCCTGCTCTCACACAGACGATGAGGATGCTAAGCAGAGCTGACCTGGCTGAGACCTCCCACTCCATCCCTATGAGGACTTTTTTCTCAGGGTCCTACAAAACAGAAATAAATAGAAGAAATAATTGTCAGTCTGTTTGGGTTCAACAGCTTATTTACCTTTTGCCAGGGAGTATACTGAATATGACATATAGCAAAGAAAAGCTGTTCCTCTCCAAGAGATGGGAATAGTCAAATACATATATGCAAACTGACTGAAAATCAAACTATGGTTTTGTATTCAATATTAAAATAAGAGGGATGCTTTATAAATAGCTCTGATGCTGAGCAGTCCT